AGGTCTTGCTATATTTGGGTTCGATGTTCTAGTCAAGGCATGAGGTTAAAAGAAAGCTTCTGGTGATAAATACGGACTAACGAGCAAAAGGGATACACGAATTCCGAAGTATCTCTGAAAATAAAATTTGTAACAATCTTGTTAATGGAATGCCCAAGATTCGTGAATTATGATATGTGAACATATCTACGAAAAATGAGAGTGATAAAATTATCCTGTTACGAGATGTGCAATATTCACGTATACAATCGAAAAGAGAACATTGTTGTCGGGATCAGGCTATAACATAATAATCGGTATTTTATTAATAGAAATTTCTAAATTATAACAATTATTTAACGGTCTCCTCGCAACAATTCGGAGTACTTTGGCTCGACATAAAATAAATTGAATTTCAATTGAATTCACACAAATGCACATGGATGGCCACATATTTAGAACTGGAGGTCAACCTAGCAACAGTATCACTTACAAGAGGTAAGTAATCACACCAACGTTCCATATGTCAACAGATGGTCCCATTTCCTCAATCCTGTCGGATTCGTTTTCCTCCATGCTTGTCAGTATAATTTCCGGTGAAGCAAAGTCGAGTCGCCAACGAGGTGGCGGACGGATGCGGCTTTTGCCGCAACTTGCTCCGGGGGTAAAAGGCTGTGCCAATGAGAATCCTGTAAGTTTGACAAAACTGCTCAGAACTCCTGCATCCTGCTGCCCGCCTGGAACTGAGGTATCACCGGAGAGGGGGGCTAAAGCAGATATCAGGTCACGTGATGAGCTACGCCCACGAGGCCGACGAGCAGCTGATAGGTTTCTGGTGAATATCATGTTTTCCGGCTGTTTTCAAGAGTGAAAGAGTGATTAACAACGTAGAGTTGCGCAATATAGTAAGTCTATTGTATACGGAAACTTGAAAAAACTATTAAAGAAAGTAGCTCTTTTTTCGATTTTGGAATTTATTTTGCCTAATCCAAAATACTTTTCTGGAACACTGATAAGTCGCTTCCGGAAATGCATATATATTTTGTTAGAATTACAATCCCACCAGGTCGACTTAGAAGATGGAATGGCTGATAGTTGAGGTTCCCACATTGACATGAGTAGAAGGCCCCTATATGCAGCTACCACAACCTACCATAAAGCTTTCAACAGAATGATCTTTCGCATTCCAAAACAAGTCTTAAAGTTAATGTCTGCAAAACACTTCAAAAGAGAAGGGAGTAATCAGGACTCACTTGAACGTCAAGATGAACTACTCCTTCATTATGTAAGTGAGAGAGTGCCTCAAGAAGTTGACGGATTATGCTGGCGGACGCAGCCTCTGACCAACTGTGGCAGGCTATCACCTCATCAAGCAAGGAGTTACCGATCAACCTAAAGTGATTATGGCCATAAGTATTCATCCACAGGATAAAAATAAAATAAAAAGGATAGGTTGAATACCTTTGAATTCCTAAATAATTTAACCAATCAGAGCTTATTAAAGGAATTTAAAGCTTATATTTATTGAAGCATGGATTATTTTTTGCGATAATATACAAATATAAAAAAATTTATAAATGAGCTTCCTAAGAAGGTATGCCAGCATGACTATAACTCAAATTCAAGGTCGCATGATACTTTCGGTCTGGGGGAACCGACCTTCGACACTCTTCACCCAACACTTTCACTCGAAATAGAAGTAAGCTCGACAATAATGAAACAAGAGATTCCTCGAAACCTAACTTTTCCTCGCAAAGATTACTTCACCAAATATTATATTGCAAATGTGATATGGAAAAGGACTGACTTGTCACAAAAAATATTGGAAAAGTGCATTAAGTTTATGCTCGTTTCTCTTATTTGCTATATATTTCTAAACAAAATAAGGCTATTTTCAATAAAACGTATTATCAAGAACACATGGACTTCTTTAATCGAAGGTATGTAGACTTAGATGGTATAGCCTTTTCTATGGTCGCGGCCTCCTGACCTTATGTAGCAGTTGCTTGACCTTGTCTTCGCAACTTGTTCTTATTGGCAGTGATGCCTAGAGAGACGCACCTTGTCCGGAGTTCATCGTATCCATGATAATCTCCAGAGTCGGACCGTGAGCCATACTACAACTCGTCAAAAAGACAACAGTTGTAGTTTAGTGTCAAGAATGACAGGGCTCACTGACTATGGAGAGTATACTGCCAGTGAAACGTCTGTGAATGTAACGCGTCTACGGTTCGACTCTGGAAATTATCGTGCATTTTATGGACTGCGAACAAGGTTTGTGCTTCTGGGTCTCCCTAAAAATGAGACTGTTTCGAAAACAAGGTTGAACAATTTCAATGAACCTTTTTATTCGTAAAAATGGGCTAAAAGTTTAGCGTAAAAACGTGCCGATATGTGAAACTATCTTAACTTCTCAGTAAAAGTAATTACCTCATAACTTGCTTCTGATTGGGAAGTAAATTATATTGCTAGGAATAACGATCATATCCTGGCTAGGGCTATTTTTACCTTTTTATGGACCAAATCAAGTTATTGTACCAATTTTAAGGATCGACCAATATGAATGGCAATAGCCGATCGCACAAACATATTCTATTTGAAAGTTAGCTGAAAACCTTCTGTAAATTAGTACATGTAAATTAAACTTTTTAATAGAGCCTATTGTAACGCGGTAATAAACGAGTTAAGCCATTCACCTTTTAGATATAGGTAGAATGCCATCCAGTGTGAATATTAAGAAAAGGTTGAAATATTTAAATCTATGTAGTTATTATAATTACATCCGAAGTAAACCTCCTTTCCACCCATTCAATGTTATACATTTCATGAAGAAATTTTCACGAGGTTTAAACAAACGTAAGAAACAAAAAATCTAATTATCTCAGTAATAATGACATTATGAAGAATCCACTAGAGCTAATGTGAAATAATAAGTTTTAACTCTTTTATCATAATTTCATGTAGATGAAACGGCCTGGAAAGGAGGAAGTTAAATCCCCTATTGCAGGAGAGTATTGCGGAACTGTAACGAGAGCTGTGTCTGTCCCCATATTACCTGGAACTCAATTTCCTTTTTCCAACGTGAGGTCAACGATCCACAGGTTATATCAATAATTCACAAAATGGAATACTTTGCATAACTACTTGGTCTTATTGCCATCAAGAAAAAGGTAAGCAAAGCTATTTAGAAGTCTCCAGCCAATGGATTTGGCATATCCCCTAACATTTTGCCATAATCGTGGTCGGCAGTGTCAGTGTGACGTGCCATTTACATATCTTAGACGAGTTGTGGCCTGATGCCAATAATGGCAGGACTCACTGATACTGCTGACCGTGACGCCGGCGAAACGTCTGGGATTGTAGCACGTCCACGGTCCGACGCAGGAAACTAGCATAGCTACTACGACAGAGGATTTCGGACAAGTTGCATTCATTTATATTGACATGACAATAGGGCCGAGGTAATAAAACGAGGTCAAAAATGAGAGCAAAATTGAAGCCATACTATTTTGATCCTCTTATCTGCGAGTAAAAAATATTGTTCGATATATAAAGAATTTAATGGGTGAAAATATGAGTTTCGATACAGTAATATTTATCGTTATAACTCTAGTTAGGCATTTGCATGAAATACCTTTTTTCCATCAGTTACTGTCTTAGACTGATCTTGAGGCCAATTTAATGAATGCAATTTTTTAATTAATCGTCAAACTTTTAGTCCGGATCATCAAATATTTTTAGACTTCTCCTAAAATTTAGCGTTGATTATTTTGTAAATTTAAAGTAAATTAATTTTATTTCTCCTGCCAAAAAAAAGCAAGGAAACTACAATCACCAACCTTTCTGTCACAATAACTAGAGTTCGATCACTGATGATGGAGTCCACTAGTTCGACCACGTTGCTATGATATAGTCGCGTAAGGCATTCCAGCTCCCTGGCAGCGTTCACCAGCGTTATTGGCTCGTCTAATGCGTATAGTTTGCCAACATATTCGCGATTTGTCTTCTTATCGATTAGCAAATGAACGTCGCTGTAAGTGCCCCTAAGTTCATGCCGGTTTAGTAACACAAAGAAGTTAAAGGAAGGGGATCAAGCGTCATTAGGATGTATGCACTAAATACAAATTTAGAAAAGTCTTCTAGCTAACTTCAGAATTTAGAGTGGATCAAATTTGACTTATGGCTAGCATTTATAATAAAATCAATTTCCAGTAAAATTATTATACATCCTGAAGGTTTCTGAGGTCTTGTTAATGTAATGACAGAAGGTTGATTCAATTATGCTACTTACTTGCCCACAAGTCTCAAGACGAAATAGTGTTGTTCTAAATTTGTCCATCGAGTTGATATAACTTTCGGAACAGGAGTTTCTAAAATATAAAACATATAATACTGCATAGTAGCTAGGCTATAAAACTGTATAATTAAAATCTAAAAATATAAGAACATATTTAAATACTTCCGTTTATTTACAAAGCGCCTCACCTTCCACGCGCACCAAACAGCTTGTCTGAGCTCGGCCAGCAATGTTCTCAGCCACAAGCGTATACAGTCCAGCATCATGTAGAATACATTCTTCAACAATGAGGCTCGCATTTATCGAATAAAAACGCTGTAGCTCTGATCCAGATTCAAAATTTCCCGGGCTGTCTATCTCCCGATCTCTCGATATTGGACTACCAGGTAAAGTTGATCGGTCGCCTATCCGAGTTCTGTATGAAGCGACAAGAAGTTTAGAGTCACGAGTCCAAGTTATCTTTGGCCGTGGCACTGCATCAACCCAAATTGGCAATTCAATCCTTCCATGAAGGTAGGCAGAATATACCGGGGGTGGTATCTCTGTCAACACAGGAGCATCTATACCAAGAAAACAGTATGGAAGGAAAGAACAAAAGAAACTGAAGATGAGAGATGGATCTGGGGTAATCTAAACAATTAATAGAGCTCTAGTAAAACTGAACTTTAAGGTTTTCTGTGACTAATCTGATATATAAATAATAACTCTATCAAAAAGTAGGATTGGTAAATTAAGCTCAGAGGCTGGACACAAAATAAAGGTAATCTTTATGAAAGGCATTTTTCTCACAAATTTGTGAATTAATCTACTAAACATAAGTGGCTTTACTTGATAAATCCCCAGTAGTCCAGCATATCAGAAGAATGTAACATACAGAATTTATCTTCTGATTTGTTTTAAAAAGGCACCACTTTTGGTCCAAAATAAGCATAGTTATAGCAGAGCAGAAATTGTTGTCGAAATATGATGTAGTTATCTTAGTTTAGCTTGAAATTGGATTTGTTGCAGACGAATTATCATTGATTATGAGTCAAATTAACATAGATTCCTTACTTTCTGTTCACCACTTTATCCCACTCTCCCTAAAAATAAGACTAAGTTGCAAAAACAAGGATGAACAATTTCAATGAACCTTTTTATTCGTAAAAATTGGCTAACAGTTTAGCATAAAAACGTGCCGATATGTGAAACTATCTTAGCTTCTCAGTAAAAGTAATTACCTTATAACTTGCTTGTGATTGGGACTTCCTGTTTACCAATTTATCCCACTCATGTTCTCCAATTTAACTTGCTTTATAAAG